CGAGGACAGGTGGAACGAAGGGCCCACATTTTTTTTGAGCCATTAGGAATCTTTTCCTATTGCCTGAGGATTTCAACAATAGGAGTGTCTAACGACTGTCTCTTATACACATCTAGATGTGTATAAGAGACAGCTTCTAGCTTGTCTATCTCCTCTGCACCTTCTTCGCCTTGTGCCTTGGTTACTGTCTCTTATACACATCTAGATGTGTATAAGAGACAGCTCTCTCTCTCTCTCTCTCTCTCTCTCTCTCTCTCATACACACACACAGACACACACACGCTCACCTTCGCACGGCAGCAACTCCAACCAGAGAACGTGAAGAGACTGACTGCTGCAGCATTTTCGGTGGCCTGCTGCAAGGGCGTCGCAGAAAGATGCATGCCCCTTGTGAGAGCATTTCGAGGAGGTACTGATGAAACGCCATCCGCGGTCCGGTAAGGGCATAGCGGAAAGTTGTGCCCCATGCTGACAGGGGCCTGCAGAAAACTTCAGAGGCCCCAGGGGCACGACAGGGTAAGTCAGCGCTCAGAGGGGGATGCGGCAAATTAATGGAAATTTAAGGGGCATTTCATGCTGAGGAATGGAGTTCCTCGGCAGTGTTGGAAAATGCCTTGCCCGCCCATAAGTGAAGGGGGGCCTGCAAAAACGCGCCTAGGCCTGAGTACAGGTCAGTGTGACCGAAGAAAGGGTTTATAAGGCCCCAAGAGGTTGTTGAAAGGCTTGCGCCTGTCGAAAATCATCTGCGGCCTTGAAATCCCCAAGGGGTCCTAACCAGGGGTTTGCTGAGCCCATGCCTGACACCAGACAGTTACAGTATGTTGATGCTGTGTGACAATGAGCTATACGCCAGACCTGAAGCTGAGCAGCCACGTTGGGCAGTTCAGCCCTCCAACCGAACGGAGCCGGGGGCACCTCTAGTAAAGGCCTTGGGTGGGTACACTTGAGCCTGGCCTGCTCATTCGGTGTCTGGAGGCAGGCCTTGCCTGTGTGACTGGGCCCTGCATATTTCCAGCGAGGCCTGCTCATTCGGTCTCTGGAGGCCGACATGTCGCACAACGGCCGTGGACCACTGAAAATGCACAGCTGCTGTGTCACACGCTGGCCACGAGCCAATCAAAATCCAGCGAACACTTGGCCGTGCCTAACCGCATCGGGCCCAGGCCAGTATCTGAACCGGTCCTGCGCGCAGGCACTTTGGCCCGATAGGAAGCCACTGGGCCCCACGGCCAGCCAGCACTTTCCATAAAGGACAGTGCCTGCTGCCCAGCGAGGCATTCTGGCCTCAGGCGACCTGGCGGCCACGCTGCTGGTTGACGGCGCTGGCTGGAAGAGGCGTACACGGGCGCGTTGCGATGTTGGGCGCTGCTGGTGCAGCGGGCTCTGAGGAGCCATAGCCGGGCTTACGCGGCGAAGGCTGGTGAAGGTGATGGTGGTCTTCGGGTGTCAGGGATGCACACTGTGGGGAGACGAGGGTGAGGTAGAGGGGAGAAGAGACACGTACCTGGTGTATGCTTCGTCACGTACATTGGTCTTCAGCTGGAAGTGACTCCTGTTGCATATCGTAGTCCAAGCTTTTTCTTTCTTTTTTCCTTTTTTTTAAATAACCAAAATGGCTCCAATATATTTATGGGGAGCAGCACGTGCTGGGAACCGGGCCCATCGTAGTCTAGGCTAGATAGGTGCTGAGTAGGATAGGCAGGGTGCTGACTCCGCCCTGCTGACTCCGCGGAGCGCCAATCGAGAAGAGCGACATCGGGTACTATGTTGGTGTGGCGAGAGAGTGTCAACATTGACATTTGAGTTGATTGTATTGCTCTTATTTGGCTTGCATCTCGGTGCATTGTGCTTTCTGCTTGGTACTATCTGGGCTTCAGCGCGATATTGCAATCTGGATATATTCTGTCTATCGCTCTCGCTCACATTTCTTGCAGAAACTTCTTTTCTTTTTTTCCTTTTTAAAATTTTATGTCCGCGTTCGGAGGGTTTTGGCGCTCGTTTGCGTTCGGTCGCGAACGTCCGGGTTCGGCCACTGAATGCGAACTCGCTGCTGCGCCGGGAAAACAGTTCTACACCTTCAAAAAGGACTTAAACCACTTGTACCTTTGCCACTTTAGAAAGGAGGGAAACCGCCTATTCCCGAAGAATTAGGAAGCCGGGCCCGGCAACGGCTGCCATTGATATTGATAAATCTAATCGGCGGCCATCGTTTCGTTTTGGCCTCCTGAAAGGCCGGAGGTCTGCTATTTTCCGAAACGACAAAGGTAATAGTGGTTTAATACCCACTCCTCCTGTGTACCTGTGGTATCTGTGTGTGCTCTGTCGTCTCCATTGTAGTGCAGGAATGTGGTAATTACCTAATAGGTAGTAACTCTGAATAACTCTGGATTAGTGGGTAGTGGCCAGCTTGGCGTGGATTTTTCAAGGCCGTTGACCTTCACGAGTAATAAAGTGGGAGAAAACTTTGAAAAGGACATACATCCCAACTCTCCGAACTCTTCCTTTGTATCTCTCCTGGCTATGTGATCTCCATTTTACGGCAGGCAAGCGTGCTTTCATTGCAGATGTGAGTGTGCGATCTTCCCGGCAAATCAGACAGACAGATATGGGGTACCTTGCGGACCTACAATGTACCTGAAAGATGCGATAGAAATGGAGATTAAATTACTAGAAGCCTAGTAGAAGGGGAAAAAAGATGAAAAAAAGAAACTAAGTCTTTAACATAGAAAGGAAAGAGACATGTGATTTTTCTTTTTTGGAAAAATTGACACAGAGAAAGTAAAAAAGAAGTTTGGAAAATTTTCGTCAAGCGAAAACGGCGATTTCAGTATGCAGTCAACAAGTGCTTCCCCCTCTCCTCCTGCCTTGTTCTTGCTGTCTGCTCTTTTTTTTTGCCCATCCGTTTCCCAGACTTTGCAACTCTGATTGATAGCACTTTGATACACATACGTGACAAAAGTTACAATAGCTTTCAGGTAGCACCCGAGCCTCTGAGATAGCTAGCTGGTTTTCTGCAAAATCTATTGAAGTTTCGCTGCATCAGTAAGTCTACAGAGCGAATGGATTCATTCATTGGTGAACTGATATATTCAACAAGGCCCAGGCTTCACAACACGCGACTTTTCACATTATCATTGAGCCTTTCTCACTTTCTCCGCGTGCTTGTGTGTGTGCTGTCAGTGTGTGTTGTGCGTCTGTGTTTGTTTATGTGTTGTTTTGTGTCTATATCTGTCTGTGTGTGTCTGTGTGTGGGTTTGTAGCATGTGTGTGTGTGTGTGTGTGTGTGTGTGTGTGTGTGTGTGTGTAAACTGTCAACATGACAAACCCCTCTCCACCCAGAATGTGTGTTTCTGTTTTTGTGTCCGTCTGTGTTGTCCGGTGTGTGTGTGTGTGTGTGTGTGTGTGTGTGTGTGTGTGTGTGTGTGTGTGTGTGTGTGTTGCTCTGCGAATGTGTTTCTTGCAGGATGTAGAGTTGAAACGGGGAAAGCCTCTATACCTTTCAGAAGCTCGCTATCTGACCCTAACGATGATGGTATGTTGCTCATGGCATTTCTTGGAATTTCAAAATTTTCAGTATGCGAAAGCGAATGGTTTGTTAAGCCTCTCCCCAAACAGTTCAACTTGCGATTTTGGGGGTCTCAAAAAAATGCCGTGAAACAAAGAGGGAGGCAGGCAAGCGCTGTCTGGGTGGGGAGGCAGGCCAGTCTGCCAAGTTTACAGTTTGCTAGCATCACTAATGTGCATCCTATCCCCCTGCCTCTCCACCTGAAGGTGGTGGAGAGACCATCCTCCTCCTCCTCCTCTTCCTCTTCCTCCGACCTCTTCTTTGTACCATTGCTCTTCGCCCCTCCATCGTCCTCTTCTAGCTTGTCTATCTCCTCTGCACCTTCTTCGCCTTGTGCCTTGGTTATATGCGGTGTTTGCCCTCAGTGGTCGTTGTCGCATCTGCGTCACTGTTTGCTTTGGCATCCGTCTTGGTGGTTTCCATTTTATCTGGCATGTTTTTTGGGGGGTCTCTTTTGGGCCCTTTGTTACCTCCGGTCTGTCCTTTCTCCATGCTGACTGTCTGTGGGGGTCCTCGGAAACTGTGTGGGCGTTTGAGAGTCAGGTCCAGCCTTCTGCACACAGCAGGGCAGTGGTTGAACCACAATCACTGTTACGAAGGCAAGGCTTGCTTTTTGGGTCTCCGGTCCGTCCTTTCTCCATGCTGACTGTCTGTGGGCGTCCTCGGAAACTGTGTGGGCGTTTGAGAGCCAGGTCCAGCCTTCTGCACACAGCAGGGCAGTGGTTGAACCACAACCACTGTTATGAAGGCAAGGCTTGCTTTTTGGGTCTGGGTCTTTTGTTGGTCCTGTGTTACCTCCAGTCTGTCCTTGACGAGACGGACACGACTTATTCACCACCATTGAAGATTATACTTGTAGCAAAGAACTCGCTGCGAAGACTCAAGCTCGTTGTGAAAGGGGGTCACTGCGAATAGCCAGGCCTTGGTTGAACCCCGACCGTGTCTCTCTGATACGCAGCTGAATGGAATACTCGTGAACGTGAGATGCTGGTGGGATAATGTTCGGCAATGCCTATCCGCTACAAGATTACACAACGTCGTCCCTCGTATAGCGACGTCGCAAAATCGTATATGCCAGGACATTGAGGGAAAGTGGCAACAGCATCATACACGCGCTGCTTACTCAATTCTCCAGGCAATCTGTGGGGGGGAAGCGACGTTTGGGGGTGATGGAGATATAAGGGTCGAAGTCGGGGGTGAGCGGGATGGGAAGGTGTGTGTGTGTGTGTGTGTGTGTGTGTGTGTGTGTGTGTTTTTAATGTATCCCATGATGTACTCACCATGCACCCCATGGAACCCATGGTACACCCCGCCCGGCCGCAACCATACTAACACTGTATGTTGCCACTCTACTAACTCTCTGGAGCTACCTTGTACATATGTGGTTATCCATGATCAGCTTTCCAAAGTGCCAAACAGAAGGCACAGGGGAGTCAGGAGGGCAGATAACGTGCAAGCACACCAGCAGGCAAACCAAAAAAAACAAGCAAAACAAACGAGTCCCAAAAGGATGCCAAGACGAGCCAGACAAGAAAATTATCAGAGCAAGGCAAGCAAAAGGACATCAAGGCATAGGCTGGAGGGCAAGGGGGAGGCGAGAGGGCAGACAACATGCAAGAACACGAAACAGGCACACAAGCACACCAAGGCTGGCAAACCGGAAAAAGATACAAGTCCCAAGCAAATAGAAAGACCGAAAAAAATAAAAAACTGATGATGACAAAGATTGTTTCGTCAGGGTTGCACCGACTCAATTGGAGGCTGAACCCTTGACAATCTGCGGAATCTCTGTATTTGATGGTTTGGGTCATGAACCCTTTGACCCATGTTGAAGGCAGACTGTCCCCAAGCGGGACGTAACAGCGGGCAGCAACCCTGCGGTGCACCAGGCAACGCAGTAGAGGCAGCCCAACTGCTTATCACCAAAGACGACTGCAAGGAACAACAGGGAAAGCAGACGAGCAGCTCGGCAACCGTGCGGTGAAGTGCAAGGCAACATCAGCAAGGCGACCAGACTACAAGGCACGCAAGCAAGTAAAGGATGCGACAGGCCAACAGGCAACATCAGCAAGGCGACCAGACTACAAGGCACACAAGCAAGTAAAGGATGCGAAAGGCCAACAGGGCAAGCAGACAAGCAGCACGGCAACCATGCAGTGAAGCACAAGGCACCACCAACAAGGCAACCGAACTACAAGGCATGCAAGCAAAGGACACTGAAGGCCGACAGGGCACATGGACAAGCAGCTTAGCAACCGTGCAGTGAAGCACAAGGCACCACCACAAGGCCACCAGACCACAAGGCACGCTAGCAAAAGACACGGGAGGCACGGCCCGTAGATGGGCAGCAAGGCAGGGGAGCAGCGAGGAAGACGTGCGAAGCAAGCGGCACGGGCAGCAAGGCAGCGGCAGAGTGCAGACAAGACGATCTACACATCCAACGCGGAGCAAAGCTGCACATGACCGACTCACATCACGAGTTAACCCTGCAGACTGTTGGTTCCCACCACCCACTGAGCGAGGGAGACACTCCGACGACCATCCGTTATCACCCACAGGAAACACAGACATCCTGAACTGAGCAGCCCCCCTAAGAGTGCAGTAGGCACTCCAAACGAGGACCCACCGACTGTTTGGCACTGCTAGAGGGTGCTCGGCTAGAGATACAAAAAGTACTTAAAGAAAATAGGAGAAAGAGGAAAAACAAACATAAAATAGGAGAAAGAGGAAAAACAAACATACCTAAAACGAGGACGCACCGACTGATTGTGTGTGTGTGTGTGTGTGTGTGTGTGTGTTCGTGGGGGGGGGTGTCTATGTGTGTCTTTTTTTTCTGGTTTTTATGTTTTTGATTTAAAAAAAATACATATGAACCTTAAAAAAAAAAAAAAAAGGGGATCTACAACCCTATATTTATTATTAGTATTTTTGTTTATTGTTTGCGTGCGAAACAATGTCTGTGAAAAAAGAAAAAAACACCCATTTCATCTTTGGTTTTGTTTTTTTCTTTCTCTTTACGTTTTTGATTTTTTTTAAATATAGCGAAACTCCAAAAAATAAAATACCCGAGAAAAATACGTTCCTGCACCCGCTCAAACCCCTTTCAATGCGCTTTGAGCGCGGGATTGAGCAGCGCTCAATCAGCATGTGGTCTCACAGTTGCAATAGAGTGAGCCCTTATGGCGTAAAACACGGATATAATTTTTATATATCTTTTGCCTGGCTCCTGCAAAAGGTGCCATGTGCAAAGTGTCGCACAAAGAATGCGCCTCACTCCACTGCACCACACGCGATGTGCATCCACAGCCTAATAATGGATCAGTGCAAATCATACTTGCAAGCGGACACTGCAAAGCGGACCGGACCGGACGCTTGTCCGGTCTGGTCCGCTTTGCAGCGTGTGGCACCCTCCCCCCGGACCGGACCGGACCGGACCGGACGGGGCCGTTTTTTTTTCTTGGGGGGGGGGGGGGGGGGGGGGGGGGGGTAACTGGTCGTCGGGCGCACATTCGTGCACCGCGTGGGTCCGGTCTGGCGGTCCACCGCACGTGTGGAACCGCCCGGACGGCGTCCGCTTGCAAGTAGTGCAAATGGATCTGGTCTTGTTGCTGTCAACGTGCATGTCTAGCGTTGTGCAAAAAATGGGCCTCGCTCCGCTTCACAACACTCCACATGCATCTGCACCCTAACAGTGGTTNTTGTTGCTGTCAACGTGCATGTCTAGCGTTGTGCAAAAAATGGGCCTCGCTCCGCTTCACAACACTCCACATGCATCTGCACCCTAACAGTGGTTCGATACGTTGAAAATGTTGGGTCAGTGCAAATGGATCTGGTCTTGTTGCTGCCTACGTACATGTCTAGTGTTGTGCGGTGGAGCGAGGTCCAGTTTCGAATCAATTGGATTTGTCAATGTTGGAACTGATTCAAGATGAACAATGGTTTTTAATTTAAACCAACAGCACTTCTGAGGCACATTTCTCCGGGGCTGGAAATGCCTACGCACCGAAAAAAACCGAACTGGTGTGGGCCTGCTTGTGGCTGATGCCGCCAGCCATTTTGCTTCGAAGGCCGAGCCCTGGAAGTTGACTCAACAGGGCAAGCCGCAACTTCTTTCCTTTTTTTTCCCTTTTTTTTCTTCGGAAAAAATGGGGTGCGAATTTGGGAAACATCATGGCGGGTCTGATGTCACCAAAGCAACTCACCATTGCCAGTTGAAGCACCTGACGAACCGTCATCGGCTGTATTGTTTCTTTTTTCTTTTCTTTTTCTTTTTTTCTTGTGTGGGTGGGTGGGTGGGTGGGTGGGTGGGTGTCCGATAATGTGTGAAATTGTTTGAATCGCTTTCCAAATGCAGGTCGCATCACATGGTCTGGACCATAACTCCTTTGTGCTGTCAAGGACGAGACGAAGAGACGGCCATATCTATTAGCAAAAGATGCAGCGGGGAGGTAAATCAGAGTGCTGCCCGCCTCCACGTCCTGTGCACATGTGGTCCCGGACCGAGCACGGTGGTGAGAGTACGGAGGCCAAAAATGTGGGTCATATAACGCAGATCGAGTCACCGCGAATGTGTCCGACAGAACAGAGATCGGGCGTGCAGCTGTGTGCTGTTTATGCAGACGACACAGCTGAGCTGCTGCATACTACGAAAGAGAACCTGCCGCCTCTACACTCTGACAGAGAGAAAAAGCCGCCACCTCTTCGTGGCCGCCGCCTGTGGCCTCCTGACCACAGAGAATTTTAAATTGGAGGCCAGTTTTTTCAGGAATGGAAAGTTGCGGGCAGAGTCTGTGATCGATTGCTGATAATTTCCCTCATAATTCCCCAAGGCTTCAGAGTGTTTCTCTCAGGTGCCCGGTCATCTATCTGGATATTCAAGTGATTGATTGTCAAGTGTTCCCTCCGATTGCATTGCAGTTCTGGTTTTCCGTTTCCTATCCAGTGTAACTAAGTACGCGCATGCAAAGGTGGATTGATTTACCTAAGTACGCGCGTGCAAAGGTGGATTGATTTACGATTTACAAATATGGCCCACGAAGTTGATGGAGACGAGGAGGAGGAAGAGGAAGAGCAAGGACAGGAATGCTGACATACGAGTTGCACCTCTCTCTCTCTCTCTCTCTCTCTCTCTCTCTCTCTCTCTCTCTCTCTCTCTCTCTCTCTCTCTCTCTCTCTCTCTCTCT